TTGTTTTTCCGACATTTTTGGCGCAGAAGTAAAGAAACAAATGTCGTTGAGGTGAAAAAAGGCGCGCTTCCTTTTCCCGCCTTGTCAAAAGCTAGCCAATCAGAATCGCGATGTACACGGACGTACGTACGTACGGAAGGACAACTGGGCTTCCTGTATCGGTTGATCAAAACTCAGCTTCATGGGTTTACCATTTTTCCTTAGTTATGGTGCTCCGCTCGCGCGGGCCTTCGGCCCGCGCGGGAGCTCCGCTATAAAAGCTGCAATTTTCCTTGGATTTTTATGGGAAATGTATGGTTTTAAGTTGAAAAATTATTGGATAATTCCAGTTTCAAAGCCCAAAATTATGGATTTCATGCAGCTAAACCTGCACTGTGGTTAAAGGGGATTGTAGACAATGTTCGACACCTTATTTCAAGAATTTGAATTCATATCTTTACAAATCTTCCACAAATACATAAGATACATAACAGGGATTTATTAAAATTTCACTCACCAAAGAAGTTATATTGTTTTGTATTTTAATTTAAGCATGTTTATTTTGTGCACTTTTCCACACTATTTCCAAAAAACTCACTTTTTCACCCTTTTTTTCAAAAATTGCATTCTATCAGATTCTATTATTGCAGCGTTTCATTACTCATGTTTTTTATCAACAATTGTACACAAACACGGTTGCTAGAAATAAATTACAAACAAATCAGACTATGTTCAAAATTACAAGATAACGAAAAAAGTATAATACTTACAAAACGCTGTTTACWGGTCGGACGATGAACGATGTGACGATAATATATACGGTTACAAGCGAATATATACACAACGAAGAAATAACAAAAGAAACGGAATATAAATTAGGTTAGAACTCAATCTAGCGTGAACGGCGCTAACAGATTCTCTGTGGTTGACAAAACATTGTGAGCACTCTTATTTACACAAAAATATATATTCATTTCAATTTACAATATCTATAAATTAAATTTATCATATGACCCGTATTTCGGCCCTACGCGCGCTCTCACTGAAACCTTTGTAAAATGCTCACGTGATGGGGTCCGTACGCCTTTTCGCGACAGGTCCGTACAAACCCGTATTTCCCCGGCTTGAAGTTCCGCGCGCTATTATTTATTTTTTTTACATTAAAAAACGCTGTCATATGATAAAATGCTTATTGACTGAGTTAGGTCGGGCCGTACGGGAAAATATTTGGCTCTCGGTCATTTGTACGGACCTCGCTGCGCTCGRTCCGTACGGCATAACCTCGAGCCAAATATTTTCCCGTACGGCCCTCCCACTCAGTCAATAAGTACATAATACAATTGGTATAGATTGAGTCTTCAGGATCCAAAATGTTAGTAAAAAATGTTTAAAAAATGTCAAAATTCTGTCATATTTCAACAAAAATTAAAATTATAGTATGTGTTGTTAATGCTTCCCTAGTTTTTATAGATTCAAATAAATTACTGTAAAAGAAACTACAAATATGCATTTTCTGTCAGAGAATCCCTAGCAAAAATGTATGCTTTGTTCATGATAGCTTCCATACACAATACTGTCATATGATAGAACAAGTGTTTTACCTTGTTCATGCTTCTCCTTTTTCCAAACAGATTCTAACAACTCCTCTTCACTGTCTKACAAGACCTCTATTTTGACAGCATGTTTCTCTTCATGGTTTGACATCACTTTAAATGTTGTTGAGCTGAAATATATTCATATATATAATTTTATTTACTAGGTTTAGTAGTGATATAACACTATCTACCAATCACAATCCTTTTAACAACTGCCTCTCTTACTATGTTTTCTCTGAACATGAAAAGCAGGTATAAACTAATGGATGGAAAGTGCTGGTCATTCTAAGTGTTTTCTTGATGTTAAAGCAGAAAAAGTGATTTGCACTAGTGACAGTCTATACTTCAGTTTTATCTGTTCTTCAGTTTCAATCATGAACAAGAATTTAAAAAATAAAATAAAAAGCAACAAGTTTCAAAATAAGTTACCTTGTACTACAACCTGGACTGCTTTCATCAAATGAAAGTGTCTTCATGCAAGAATCCACACAAAAATCCCTTCAAAAAATAAAAATTAAGACACTCAATGTTTGTTTACAGTCATAAGATATCATGAAGGTAATGAACATTATCTTTTAGTTTCAAAGGTAAAAACAAAACAAAAAACAACAACAAAATAAAAACAGAAATGATGATAACCTTTTTATTTTCTTTGAAGCTGGAGAATCCGTCAAATCAATGGGACAACAGTTTTTTTGTGGGTCAGTGGTTTCACAAGCAATACAAAATTCTGAAGATCCATCATTTATAAGAGTGCACATGGGGCACACCCAAGTCTTTACATCCTGAAAGAAATGTTTAAAAATTTAAATAAAAGAGAAATAATGGTCAGTCAAAATTGAGTGTTGAATAACTGGTGTTCTGCCATCTTTGTTTACATCTTTTCATATTTTTGACAATTAATTTTTACTTGGGTGAGGAATTTTGCATTCTTTACTAAAAAATGTGGAAGCCCCCACCCCATGCCCATCCACAACCCCCTCCCACAGGCTTGACATGGATACTTGATTAGTTTGGCCTGAATGGTACACGAATTGGAAAAAAATCATACACATGCAGATTTCATGTTGTATAGATTTCACATGAACTTACTTTTTGAGGAGACGTGAGATCAATAGATTTTTCTGGTGAATGCACTTTTTCAGGAGTGGAGAGATCAATAAATTCTTGCTGAAGAAGACACAATTGTAATCAATATTTTACAATGTACACTTACATGTAACAACCTAAAAGCTTTTCAAGTTATTTTTTATTCAATTAAAATATGATTGAAATATGCAATTTTTCACCATGCAACGACACCTCAAGTACWGCAAAAGTTATTTTCCCTGGGCATTCTTTCAATGTGCTCACCAGTGACAGCAGTGTTCGGATTATAAGCTCTTGTTAAGGGCTGAAGTTTATATAAGTGCACAATGCAGTTTTTTTAAGTCCAAATGTCAACAAACAACAAACTGTTTATAATCACAAGATTTATGCTTTCCTTTTTGCTTCTACATAAAGTGTATATAGAAAACATATAGCTTATACAGTTATTCTGACATAAACAATTATGCACCTGTTGGATKMRAAGTTCGAAAATGTGAACTAATACAGTCTCCTTTTTACACAGAAATTTCAATGGTTTTCGAACAAATCGAATACCCAAAACAGTTAACAATTGTATCTTTATTGCTACAGAAGTRCTAACTGACACAATGCAGTATTTCTTTTTGAGAAATGAGATTTTGCTTACCTCGGCAAACGCTTCATCCTCCATCTTGAGAAGTGGACCATAATAGTTCAATTGAGCGGGAAAATTGAGCGGGAAAGTGCGGGAAAATAACCCTTAACCCTACCTTGTCACCAGTGCTCTCTCTTGTCGTTATTTTCAAAATGGTGGACGATGCTCCGGCAAAGGCGTAGAGCTATACAGGGCTTTATTGTCTTTTCTATCTCTAACAATGCGTCAGTGTGAGTATCAAGCAGGATGTATGCTTTGATTTCTTCTAAAGCACTCGCCATCAGTACTGTATGTTTTGTTTTTCTTTTGTTTTAATTCCCACGAAATTCGAGAGCGCTCTTAATAAAAATAGGCAGTCGAAGACTGTATGTGACTCAGGCTGAATTCAGATCAGCTTGCGGCCATGTAATAAAATACTGTATTAAGAAATGATTTAAATACTATATTGAGTTATTTTATGGAAGGCTCGCAAAATAGGCTCGTGGCTCGCATACAGAGGCTCGGGCTCGCAGGCTCGCACAATAGTAACCCCCGTCAAATTATGTGATTGGCTAAATAAAATATCCCTGGAAAACGAAAATTCCAGAAACTCCCAATTGGCACCCTAAAAGATTCCCGAATTGTTACCCGTAAGAGATCCGAGGAGCATCCCCGGAGTCCACCCACCCCCCCGGTACTAGCCTTCTCTCCATAGATGTAACCATACTCTTTCACAAGTTCCTTATCTTTTGCCCTTCTTCCGTTCAAATAACAGTCTCCAGTTGCTTCATTGAAGTTAAATGACTGGTCACCAATCAGGCAGAGAGCACAATCAAAGATATCAGTAGCTTTCCTTTTGTGGATGGTTTGGCCAACAAGCTTGTGGTCATCGCTTGTGATGATAAGTGAGGACCGCTGATCTTCATTTGCAATATCCGATGGCATGACAAAACTTGATTTCATCATCAAGAATATGATAAGTATGAAGTTAATCATCTTGCCTACAACAGATGAACATATAAAATGTTACTCTGTGTGAGCTTATGACGGGTTTAACTTATGCTAAAGTTATTGTAGTAATTAATTACTCGACCTAGGCATCGGCTGCGTCGCAAGAACTGTAATCTCATTATTGCAATCTCGCAATGCAAACACATACACTATTAGCGCATATTTATATTTAATAATGTTACAGTTAGGAGAAGGCAGCTGAACTTGAAAAAATCTATAAAAACAGTTAGTGTGCAGGAGAATGACAGCATTGCATCATGTTTTTGCTATAATAACGTTCCTTTTATTTAGTGACTCCTCAACCGAATTTCCATCCACATCTCTAACAAGCAAAGTAAAAACTCCCAAAACTCTAGCCTCCTTCATAGGCAACTCTTTTTTCCTCCTTTGGGCTTCCTTTGTAACGGTCATCTTGGCCGCTAGTGACTAGTGCCCTTTTCTCGCCCACATTCTCCCTCTTTTCCCAAAAAAGACAGTAAGCCCGTGATTCTTTGTGATGACTGCGGAGAAGACTACCAAAACCCCACGGTGGATACGTTAATCAAGATGTTGAAAAATAACCTGGTCTTTATAACCATCCAATGCGACCTGAACGAATAGGGCCATGATAAAGTCCATCCAAGGCTGGATAAAATAATAATAATAGTTTGCTAAAGGCAACGGTGAAATAAATTGAATAAAAGCCTTCAACCTGAAAATCGGAAACATTAGTATATTTTTAAACCCAAACACATCAACAAATCAAACGAAAATGTCTCAAAAGGTGATATAATCAATCAAAAGTCTAGTTATATCTCTCTCAATTCAATCAATGCGGAAATGCACGAAATTTAGATGTCTGATAATGTTATAAAGTTCTTCGCTAAGATTTTCCTCTTGATCAATTAGCATTAGATCTTGGACTGTAACTTTTTGCGATAATCTTATCTTTAGTGATTCTCTGTGATTAACATTCATACCCATAATACATGTACATGTATGCTTTTCTCATTTTAGTCTATCAAGCATCGGATACGAAATTCTTGCTTTAACTTTAGTCCTTTTCTCTTGAATTGATTCTGCAATTCACGATTCTGGCTCATCTCTAAAACATTCTTCGAACAAGGAGCATTAAAATTATATTTTTACCATAACTTGTAGAATTCTCGCGCGCTGATTGGTCGAGAGTCGTTGTCGATCATAGGACAGAGCCGGCGCGCGCCAGAAACGATTTTATTTTGAAAGTTTTACTGTGTATTCGGCTTTGTTATGGTACGCTCGTGGTTCCACTTGAGTTTTGATCATTTTCTGACGTCATTTTCATTGTCGATAAGCGTACAGACCATAGAAAAGCGATTTCGATTTGTTAAATTCTGCACTACTTGATTCTAATTCTTCATCTCGAAACGTAAGTATGTTTTTGAGAAAAATCATATTGGAAATCAAAATCCTATTTCATAGGATCCTTACATAATTTACTCATGTAAATAGAATTTGCATTAGTATAATAATAATAATATAAAGAAAAAAACAAGGGATCCTTACATCCTCCCTTAAATAATGTATTACACCACTTGATTGAGATGTTATCTAACTTGAACTCATTCTCTCAAGAATTACATATCCTATGACTTCTAAAAATTAATATGACGTCATCCCATTTTTTCATATCCCCATCTAGATAAATCTAGCTCCATCGTCTCCACTGTCTCCACGTCTAACGAACGGTATTTCTATACTAATCGTGTATGCGCTGAATGTCTCCACCGCTTCCATCTGCTTCACGTCTTAGAAACGGTATTTCTATACTACTTACAAGTCATTACTTACTACAGGGGTCCTAATTACTATTGAAATTAAAGATGTTTCATTATTTTTTTTGTGATTTTTGATGTATAACAATATTTGAACTCTTTCAAATTAAGGAACCCACTTTCAGAAAATTTATAATAAAACACATCCTTTTTGCTAAGCTTACTCTTTCATTTACGACTGTTCACGTGAAGATCATTTTTTTATATTTTTTGTTTATAGATTTCTTGTAAGCAAATGAAACTAATATTTCCCTTAGATTACTATTCATTTCATATGGCTTGCTAGCACTAGCCACATGCAGTCCTAAACTGCGTATTTTTATAATGTGTTTGCGACTCACAAACAATTCAATTAGACAATTAATGCAACTTTAAGTATATGGCACATGAGATCTTTTATTTTTTTTCTGAAATTGTTTTAAGTTTGACTTCAAAAGACTTTTTCATAATCGTAGGAATATATTTAAGGTGAAGTACTCTTACTATAAGAAGAGGTTTTTGAACGAAGCTAGTTTTCGGCACTGAATTCACCGTTTATTGTGTATGTTTTAGACTTATAATAAGGGTACTTTACCTTAAATATATCCCTACGATCCTTTAAATTGTTTTGTTTGTTGAACTCAC